AGGCCCATCTCCCAGCTACCTTTTTTATCTAAAGCCCTGGAGCGAGTAGTCTACGCCCAGCTGCAGTCTTTTTTAACCACGCATGGAATCCATGAAAAGTTTCAGTCTGGCTTCAAACCCATGCACAGCACTGAAACAGCCCTTTTAAGAGTTTTTAATGATCTGCTCCTAGCCGCCGACTCAGGTAGCCCAGCTGTCCTGGTGCTGTTAGACCTGACAGCTGCCTTTGACACTGTGGACCATAGCATCCTGCTGTCACGGCTTGAACAGTCCGCTGGCATCACAGGCTCTGCCCTTGCATGGTTCAGGTTCTACCTGACAGACCGTAGCTTCTCAGTGCAGCTAGGTGCCTTCTCCTCTGCCAAAGCCCCTCTTACCTGTGGGGTTCCCCAAGGCTCGATTCTGGGCCCCATCCTTTTTCTACTGTACATACTACCCCTAGGTTCAATTCTCACAAAACACAACATCCCCTTCCATTGTTATGCCGACGATGTACAGATCTATCTGCCACTCAATTCAAATGTCAACTCATTACAGCTATTGATGGACTGCTTAGCAGAGATCAAATCCTGGCTGAGCCAAAACTTCCTCAACCTCAACGAGAGCAAGACTGAGGTTATCTTTTTTGGACCCCAACCTCCAGCCTCCCAGGTTGATATTCTGGGCTCCCTCAAAAATAATATCCTCCCCTCTGAACCTTGGAGTGACCTTCAATAGCGCTTTTAAATTCGATAAGCAGGTCAGCAGCCAAACCTGCTTTTTTTAAATACGACTATTGGCCAAGACCAAGTCGTTTTTATCTTTTAAAGACCTGGAAAGGGTTATTAACGCCTTTGTTACCTCGAGGTTGGACTACTGCAACGCTCTGTACGTGGGTATGGACCAGGCGTCAATTAAACGCCTGCAGCTAGTTCAGAACGCAGCTGCACGTCTTCTCACTGGCCACAAAAAGCGTGACCACATTACCCCAATTCTGGCCTCACTGCACTGGCTTCCAATTCGGTTCCGAGTTGATTTTAAAATCCTTTTATTTGTTTTAAAGCACTAAATGGGCTGGCTCCGGCCTATATAGCTGAACTCCTCCAGCGCTACACCCCAGCCAGAGCTTTAAGGTCTGCTGACCAGCTGCTGCTGATAGTGCCCAAGACCAGGCTCAAAACCCGAGGGCACCGAGCCTTCGCAGCAGCTGGCCCTAGGCTCTGGAACACTCTGCCCCTCCATGTGAGGTCGGCCCAGACCCTAGGGGTTTTTAAATCTACTCTTAACCTGTTAAGCTCTGAGCCTGTTTTTCAGGTCTCAGGCTCGAAAATGACATTCCCAGAACAAATGACCATATCTTCCCTTCTAAAAGGGTTAAATTAATAATCTTTTTTCTCAAAGTAATGATAAACCTGTGAGTTGGATGTAGAAAAGTCAGAATCAATATAGATGTTTTTTATTTTAAAGAAAATTCAGATTTTACATAGTAAAAAACTGTAAATTATAGTGTCCGTCCAAATATTCTTTTTTACTTATAGTGAAAACTACCCTTGGATGATGGGTTAGTAGACTAAAAGCTTTAGGAATCCAAAGTACAACATGTAATAAGTACCCTGTATCAAGATTGATGCAAAACAAGTGACATTTGACCTTTTTAGAGAGGTTTAGCCAAAACCACTCCACCTCTGAGGTGATTTGGGTGTGAAAATGTTTTTTTTTCTTCATATCTCTGGCCCCCCTTGGTCGATTTGATGGTTGACACCTCCTTTCTTGACCGTTAGAGCCAATAGAATCGAAGGGGGAGTCCCCCACACACACTCATTGTGAAAACAAACGGTGGGGGCTTCGCGCATGCAGGTTTGCACCAGAGTGAAGCGATTTCTCGCTCTGACATCTGGAAACGAAAAAGCAGTTTTATTGCTTATGGATTATCAGAAATCATTTCAAAGAGGACACAGACACATTGGATTAACCTATGGATTAACTGCAGCATCGTTTTTTAACGTTTTAATGCCATTGAAGACCAGTTTTGACCAAGGTAAGCCATGTTAGCGTTTGTAGCTACCTAGCGCCACATGTTTTGATGTACGTTTTCGTTTATAGAGTCGCAAATGTTTATCACTGAGTGTTGAGGTGGGCACCCAACGATTCTGTGTCTCCAGGTGATGCTAATCGATGGGTTGGCTGTGCATCTAGGATAAATAATAAGGGAGTTATGAGTGAGTTTAGGAGCAGTGATAGGTTAGCATTTTTTCGCTCGTGGCTAATTCAGAGGCTGAGTGTTAGCATTATGGGGTTTTTTTGGGAAAAAAAATTAAAAAGATCAGTTAGCTGAGTTTCTTCCCATTACATGGATATAAAACATTCATAGTTTATTAAATATTAAGATTCCTTAGACGTTGTTTCCTGCAAATGACGCGTTTATCCGCCCGGTACCGGGGGGGGCGGTGCATAACAGGTTAAAACACACTTCTTCTCCCTGGCCTTTTAGTCAGAGTGGAGCATGACTCCTGACTTTTCCCTGTGTTTTTTATATATCTGTTGTAATTTATTGTCTTTTATTGTGATTGTAGTAATGTGTTTTTATGTGATTGTAGTATTTATTACATGTACAGCACTTTGGCCCGACCAAAAATCGCTTTATAAATAAACTTTGATTTGATTTGATTTGATAGATATGAATAGTTTAATCAAAAGCAGCGGCAAAAAGAAAAGTATTCAGTCTGGATTTAAAAGTAGTGAGAGTTGCAGCGGACCTGCAGGATGTTTGGAGCAGAGTAACTGGACGCTGCTCAGAGCGACGGCCCCCCGCTGCACGCTTGTGGCCTGGTGCCGACCAGTCTAGTCAGACTATTTTCAAAACACTTTAAATTGTGCTTAAAGCTAAATATAATAACCGGAATGTTTGACCAGAGAGATTTACATTTCCCGGACTTTACCGGCTAACAGAAATACTGATTATAACCACATATGTTTCTCCAATCTGCAACTACTAACTCACTTACCCACTTTTGTTACAGTGTGACCCAGCTACATTTTTATAAAATGATAACACTACTATGACAATATCAGTAGCTACAGAAAAGTTTGGTTTGGATTCCTGAAATAAGGTCTGTGGTTTACACAAGCTTAAGGTCGCATTCACACCAGCCTTTTATAGTCCGGTTGAATCGAACCCTGGTGCATTTAGCCGCTTGGTGCGGTTTGTTTGGGTCGGTGTGAACACAGTCCGAGACCTCTTAAGTGAACTAAACAACCGGACTCTGGTCCGCTAAAATAGGTGGTCTCGGACCGCTGGCTAGTGAACTCTGGAGCGGTTCATCGCTGGTGTGAACGCAGTCCGCACCAAAACATAGGAAGCGTAGTATTTACGTGTCACAAGAACGCGGGTGTCTTCAAAATCGTTAGCGAAAGAGTGAAGCAGAATGAAGTGTTGAACAGTGTTGTGTAAAGTAAAAACAACTATCAAACTAAAAACTATACATAAAAGTCAGAGCCACCTGCTGTCGGTGAAACCCCCTCCTTACTGCAGAACGTCTCTCATTATATGTGTTATAATGTTTTGTATCGCACGTTGTCTGATTATATAATCATATGCGCCGTTGCTGTTGATATGCTCTCCAGATTAACAACAGCATGAAAATAACCTGCGGATGCTCCATGGTGGAGGCTCCGGTAGAAATTGCCGGGATTTGCGTTTTTACCCCCTTAATGTCTGACCAATTGTTGAACAGCATTTCCGAGCACATGACTTGTGTTTAAAGTTTATAGTCCGTTTGAATTTTACCTGTGTGAACGCAAACCGAACCTTCTGAAAAATGAAACAATGTAACAAACTGTCGTCTGGTGCGCACCAGAGAAGCGAACTATTAGGTGTGAATGCGACCTAAGATTTTTTTTCACATTTAGTTCTAGGGCTTAAAATACGTCAGCAAATAATTTTGAAGTGTTTCTCCTCACCCCTTATGCTTCTATGTGTCATAAAAATGGCAGTTGCTAACAAGTGACTAAATTAGACTATTAAAGGTAAATCTTCTTAACATTAGCCGCCTTTAGCTTAGCGGTGGGAATGCAAAGCTATGCGACTCATGTTGGTTTCGTCTACTCTTTAAATATCTGAAAGTGGTGAACAAACGTGTAAACATGTGATTGCCAAATAATGTTTTTGGAGCAATATTCTGAAATCTCATATAAAAACCCCATTGCTTTCTGTTGAGAGTCCTTGCAATGCTGACTTTCGGGTCGGCCTACAGAAATACATCATCACTGCACCACTCTATTAGTGACTAATAGCGCAGTAATACTGAATTAATGTGGTCACAGCTGTATGTTTATAAAGTATCTTACACCGTCTTTAACATGGCTCAGCAAATCACAATCAAGCACTGGAACTAAACATATTCTATCCTTTGCTTTCAGATCTGTACCTGACTCCGGAGAAGAAAACGTTGACTTATTATATGTACCACTGCCGTTGCGATATGAAGGGGAATCAGAGGCTTAAATTATGAAACTGAAACTATGTCTATTATTAACATGTTAAAATGTTGTCATGATGGGGTCACATCAATTAACTACATATCAGAAAAACTGCCTAAGACAACCTTGTTAATACATTACATTTGAAGGGTCCTAATGTTCCTCTGCATAATGTATTGAAAGGCCCTTATTATGTACAACAGAAGTCTGTTATTTTTATATCCAGTTTTTTCTAATAAAATAAATACCATAGTTGTATAGTCTTTAGTTGTTACACTGAAATATAACATAGTATGTGCTGTTCCGAAAAGGATTTTAGTTTTCACTTTGTATTAAAGCACATAATGACCAACATTAAATGTTAGTGAAGACCAAGAACAACTTCTCCAATAGCCTACTAAACACTTGTTGAAAGATGAACCATCCATTACTTAAATTGCTTGCCGAATACCAATATTTCTGATAGAGCTGCAACAAGGACATAGTTTAGTTTTGTGACAATACAGAAGTCGTTATGGTTTATTGAGAGTCTGGTGGCTTACCCGTAGATGCAGGAGATGTCAATGACCACATCGATCATGTCACAACACAGCTCATATGTCTGCATGTCCACTGGACTGCTGTCTGTGGCAATGTAAATTTTACTGACCACATCGAACAGGAAGGCCTTCTCAATACCCGAGTTCTGAAAACAGAGGAAGAGAAAAAAAAGAGCCAACCATTAGCCCCAGGAATCATCAGTTACAGGTTTTTATTAATGCTGTCAAAGAATGTTATCGAGTTATTAACAATATTAACCTGTGACAATCGTGATTGATGACAAGTATAATACTAGTATTTACTTCGTCGTTTGCCCTGTTCTGCCCTCTATGCTGGACTGTGTATCAAATGCCATCAATCTTTAGACACTTAGCAGAGAGCCGCTGTGATGACCCTCTGTATAATGTTGTCTACACATGTGCTGGTCTAGTAGTATAATTGCTGCAGCTAATATACTCCTCTCTCCCACTCCTGGCCTTCAACAATGTTGAGGGGCCTGTAGTTGTGTGTCAATATAATACTATTTCTATCCAACACATTTATTAAAACACAGAATCAATCTAAATATCTTTAGGAGACAGCATACAGTCCCTGTCATCAACATTTTATACATCATTTTAATAATCAAATAATTTAACCTATTTACTTACAAGCCATTGATAAATCATGTACTGATGGGTGGGCCATGCTGCCTTTCCATGAAAGTATTTATGTGACCTAAAGCATTTAGCATTTACAGCTTAAATGTCTAAAAAAACACTATCTAATGAAGATCCATGTTATTCGAACATACTGTTTGTATATACCTTACCACATGCACTTATTTTACTGATCATTTGGTTTCATCATTGGGCTTCATTTTCATTGGCACAGGGAGTTTGTGCTTAACGAAGACTCAATACTTATAATAATACAATAAATACTTATGGGCATTTTATGTTCTTTGAAAACAGATGTGGCATTTAGACCTGGTAACTCCCTAAACTGTACCTAAAGATGGATCTAGCTGTGACATCACCCATTGGTTTGCATTGGTATTGGGCAGCAGTAGCTCTGTTAGTAGGAACTTATCTTGGGAACCAGAGAGGGTCACCATTTGTCCCTGAGTGGGCCGAGAATAGATTGCTGATTGGTACTTTGAGTGTTTCCAGTTCACTTCATGGACACAACTGAGATGCCCTCGAGCAAGGCACTGGGTCCTCACACTGCTCCCCTTGCACTCTTTTCCTGCACAATTTCACTTCTTTATTTCTTGAGTATATTTTATGTTGCGCTGTCGTCTGGGCCTTGGACTTTTCATTGCCAACAACTACACTGTAGATATTGTGCATATGATATCTAAAGCCCTTGAATTTGAATTGAATAATACTAGACTGATCTAAATGCAGAGACTAAATCTCACTGTGTGTTATGTGCTGTGGACATGTACATGTGGGAACATTAAAAGAGGGTTTTTATTTGTATCCTCCATCTCCATTACAAATGAAATGGGTTAAGATAATTCCAAATGGAATGGAAATGGTCCAATGCTTTTATTTCATCAGAGCTGGCTCCATGATCAAATTATCCAGGTTAAACTGCTCGTGAGCTGATGATTTCCACATTTTAGAACACCTTTGATTTCCCCGTTATCAGTGTGATTCCCTCTGGGATCTTTTTAAAGGTTTAGAGCATGCAACAGTGTGCAAATACTTAATCCTTTACAAACTCCTATAGATATTGCAATGTATTACAAAAGTGTTACAAGTCTCATAAGCTCCAACTATTACAACATGTACTGTTGGGATTTGACAATTATGCTAAAAAACTGCGAAAAGATATGTATTTTACTAATTTGATTCGAAAAAAACATAACCATATACCTTTAAAACCATTATTTTTGTTACCAATTGATGAAATGTGTTGACATCATTTTCACTCCAAATCCTATGAATACTGTTAAAACCTTAAATATTTTCTAAGAGGAAGAACAACAAATATCTAAATGGAATTCTTCTTAGAATTTTACAATTTTACATTTTGCAGATGGCTGCTTCTGTGTTTTGGTGCGCTCTGTTTGTCTTGTTTTGTGTGTTAATTCAGTGTTTACATACAGTGCACCAAACTCTTTCAACAGGGAAGAGCTCCTAAACATGAGAGAAACAACTTCAGTGGATTACTTTCCCACTTTTCTCTGTTCTTCCGTGGAATTATTGGACATTCTTGTAAAAGGTACCCTCACGTGCATCCGAGCACTGAAACGCCACAGGAGAGGGAAACGGGCCGGACACTTGTGCGCCTCCGGAGACGCGGACTTCGCACGCCGCTACCCGGAATATTTCTCTCCAACGTGCGTTCCATAAGCAATAAACTGGACGAGCTTCAGCTACTGGTTAGCAGAAAGAGAGACTTTTCTTCATCTTGTGTTTTGTGCTTCACTGAGACCTGGCTGTGTGGATCGAAAAAGGTGGAGGAATATGTGTTTACACTAAAAGTGGCTGGTGGAACGATGTGACAGTGATTCTGCAGCACTGTTCTCCCACTCTGGAAACCTTTATTATCAACTGCAAACCCTTCTATTCCCCCCGCGAGTTTTCTTCATTCATACTGGTCGGTGTTTACATCCCACCGCATGTGAACGTGCAGGAGGCGCAGCGCACACTCGCCGACCAGATACTGTGTGTGGAGAGGACCTATCCGGACTGCCTAGTTATTGTTCTTGGTGACTTTAACAAAGGCAACCTCAGCCACGAACTCCCAAAATACAAACAGTTTATTAAATGCCCCACCAGAGAGGGGAATATTTTGGATCACTGTTACACCACCATCAAGGGAGCCTATCACGCCGTCCCCCGCGCCGCACTGGGCCACTCTGACCACACCATGGTCCACCTGATTCCTGCATACAGGCAGAAACTCAAACTGGCAGTGGAGCAGTAAAGCTATGGAGGAACTTCAGGCGTGTTTGGACTGTACTGACTGGGACATGTTTAGGACTGCTACTCAAAGTCTGGATGAATATACAGAGGCTGTGACTTCATACATCAGCTTCTGTGAGGACAGCTGTGTACCAACACGCACCAGGGTGAGTTTCAACAACAACAAGCCCTGGTTCACAGCAAAACTGAAACAGCTAAGATTGCAAAAGGAGGAGGCGTTTAGGAGTGGCGATAAGGCACATTTTAGAGAGTCGAAGTATGTCTTTAACAAGGCAGGGAGAGATGCTAAACGACAATACTCTGAGAAACTCCAACACCAGCTCTCAGCAAACGACTCTGCTTCTGTCTGGCGTGGTCTTAAGGCCCGGACACACCGGGCCGATTTCGGCCGTCGATAGATGTCTGGCCGTCGATGAGCGTCCTGTCGCCCAACTCAGATCGGTGTGTCCAGCGCCGTCGTGTCTTTTCGGCCGTGCCGACACCTTCCGCTCCCGATTCAACATGTTGAATCGGGAGGCTGTCGGCAAAAGGCTGTCGGCAAAATAAATCACTCTGATTGGCTGTTCAGCTTAGCGAATCAGTGCATGAGAAGCGAAACGGAAGTGAAGAAGGCACACAAAGACGGCTATTATTTTTCATTTTCCAGTACCGCACTAAACATGTTTTCGATTATAAGTCGTTATGTGAAACAGTCTGTGAAACAGTCTGTGACGAGAGTGAAAATGGAACGCACGCTATTTGTTGTTTGTATATATCATGCAGTCTGTCTTCCGGTTGCCTCTTTTGAATTAAGAATACACACTATCGCCGCTTGCTTGTAAGGAGAGTTATTGCCACTCACGCATGCGCGTACGTGCTACTTGGCCGTCGGCTGAAGTCTTTGCGGTGTGTTCCAGTACGACTGTTTGGCCAAGACGCAGGAGACGTGAGGCGACAACAATCGGGTCCGTCGGGACGTGTTCTTTGGTGTCAGTTTGGGTGTGTCAGGGCCTTAAAGCCCCGGCCACCCGAGGACGATAACCGTCGTATCTGCTACAGTTCACTATCAGATAGACAGTTTGGCCACAGGAGGCCGACATGGAAAGGCAGAAAACGATAACGATAACGGGTCCCAAGGTGGGTAGGTCTGCAAACGAAATGCTCTGGGGGGGCAAACGGCTCCGTGTTTACGCCTATACGATCATTTCCTGATAACGTTGAAGCAATAGCCCCGCCTCTCCCCACCTCTCCTTCTCAGAGATCAGCTGCTGGGCTGATAGAAGAGGGGGAGGAAAAGAGAGGCTCCGTTTTGTACTCTTATATTATTATATAGAGTCGTTATTCATTTGTTTTAAAGCTCAATAAATAACAAAGAAGACCTTTGACCGGAACTTTTCTAATTTTGTCCGGAATATTTCAACTCCAACGGAAATGTTGACCGGCGAAAAAAAACCTAACTGAAACTCTGCCGCACGGTCCCCTCGTCCCTTGGAAGAGGCGGAGAGGTGGGTGTTTGTCATCTGCTGGTGGACTACCGGTGAGATTTACAGCGCTTGCCTCGGGGAGGGAGAAAAAGAGCCAGAGCGTCCACAGCGGAGAATAAACAGAAGGGCAACCATGCGCGGGAAGTCTTCTTCGCTGCTTTTGTGGCAGCACTACAGCGCCACTTACAGGCCTGGCATATGTACGACAGCGTCTCCAGCACTTTCGAGCGGTCTCGAACGGAAGACTTTTTTGATATCGTATTCAAATGAGACACACTGGCTCTGTGCTCCCAGTAGGCCGGATGAACATGAATGAGTCCGTCCACTCAGGGTTAAAAGCTCTGTTCTGTCCACTTTCCTCTTCTTGGAGAGCGCCATGTGTAATTATTTGTCTCTCCCTGTCGCTAACACGCCTCTTCACTCTCCTCTCCGCTTCTCTCCCTGTATCGCTAATTATTCTCTTCACTCACTTTCCTCTCCGCTTCTCTCTGCCGCGCTCTCGTCTCTTCTTCTGTGTTTCTCTCCCTGTATCACTCACTCGTCTCTTTCGCCCCCTGTCGACAGCGGTTAAAATAGAATCACCCCGTCAAAATTGAAATCCCCTATTAATGTATTGATTATAGGTCCGGGTCCGTATAGGTCGGCATCTGGGTCCGGATCCGGACCGCCGTCCGCCTGTTGCCGACCCCTGGTATAGTAGCCGTTTGGCCCCCCCAGAGCGTTCCGTTTGCAGATCTATCCACCTTGGGACCCGTTATGGTTTG